TTTTTTTTTTTTTTTTTTTTTGCCAGCATCAGATTTATTTATTTTGTCTTTATCAAGTTAATCATCATAAACATAGATTAATAGCCAAACTAACAGACCAAAAACCATATACACAAAACCATTGTACTACATCAAGGTGCACCGGCCATGCTGGATTGTAATAACCCGTTTCTCTTTTTTTTTCTGTTGTATTTTAGTTTGCACTTTTATAACATATTGGGTTTCTCATACAGAAGAAATTGTGCAATATTTAAGCTTGTGTGTCTATTTCACTTAACATTATAGTCTCAAGGTGCCCTGATTTTCCTACAAATGACTCAAGTTTATCCTTCTTTATGGCAGAATAATACTCCATTGTGTGTAAACACCACATTTTCTTTATCCATTCATCTGGATGGACAGATAGGCAGCTTCCCCGATTTAGCTGTTATGATGTGTGCTGCTATAAACATGGGTACACGTGTGTCACTGTAATGTCTTTAACTCTTGCAGGAAGATCTATAGAAAGGAAATAGCTAGGTCAAATGCATTCCTACTTTGGGCTTTGTGAGGAATCTCCATACTGATTTCTGCAGTGGTTGTACCAGTCTATACTCCCAACAAAAATAAAGCAGAGTTCTCCCCACCCCTGCAGCCTCTCCAGCATTTGTTACTCTCTGATTTCTTGATGGTAACCATTCTTTCTGAAGTAAGACGGAGTCTAAGTTTTGTTTTAATTTGGGTTTCTCAAATGGCCAGTGATGTTGAGCATATTTCATGTATTTATTGGCCATTTGTACTTCTTCTTCTGGAAAAATATCTTTTTTGGAATGTTTGTTGCATTTTAAATGAAGTTTGAAGGGTTTTTTGTTGTGTTTGTGGTGCTAAGGATTGAATCCAAGCCCTTTGTGCTGAGCTATATCCTCAGTTCCTTTTTCATTTTTTATTTTGAGACAAGATCTCACTAAGTCACTAAGCTCCTCAGGCTGGGCTCAATTTTATCATCCTCCTGCTTCAGCCTCCCAGACGACTGTGAACCACCATGCCCAAGTTTGCTGAGATTTTTATATGCAATAAAACCTGAGAATCACTGTTCTAGAATTTTACTTTTTAGCTCTTAGAAAAGTCTGTCTCTTTTATCCAAAAGTAAAAATACTAAAGAAATAACGTGTTTTCCCTTTTTGCCTTGACTGCCAGGAAGCTTGGAACTAAAAAGTTAGGCTTGGCTGTGTAATGTTTATCTGCTTAGATTTCTTCACCATTTCTAGGAACATTTCTTCCCCCGGCTAACGGTGCCTTATCTTTCAAGACTTAAGCAAGATTTAAGTCAGGAGACCTTCTGAGAAGTCTGTGCGGTCCCCTCCCACGCCTCAGCCTTGCCTTTTGAGGCCGAGCCTCGGTTCTCTCCCGTTGCCCTGGTAACACCCACCGGAGTGGATCTGGCGCCCTCGCTCTTCCTCCCGGCCCGGCCCGCCGGGTCTCGCTCCTCTGTGGCCTCCCACACCTGTTAGGAGGGCTGAACTTCCTCTCACTGCTGTTTCGGTTTTGATCAGGCCTCTTCCCTCCTAAACCTCTTCAACTATTTTTGCAAGTGAGACGTGTAATCGTCGGTCTACGCATCGTGCCTGTACCAAAGTCCACTCCAGAAGGACAAATGCGGGGCAGTGTCAGGGAGGACTTTGCTGTTTAATCACTGTTTTGCGCATTCACGGTTGATGGCATCAACTGAATCCTCCACACCAGTGAATTTACACAGCACAAAGGCGTGAAGTTTGGGGACAGAGAATTATAAAAGGAACAGGAAAGATGGTATCTGGAACAGGGCAGGGCACGTGCACAGTTAGGGCCACAGATTAGTGACATTTGAGAGGACATTGAGTTAAGCGAGAAAGCACAGGAGAGGAAGGGGAGATTGGATTTTTGAGTAAAATAGGGTTAGGGAGGTAATTCAGTGGTACAGCATCGGCCTAGCATTTGTGACTGCAAAAAAAGAGTGAAGTGACTTTATTTTTTTCTTATAACAAACACAAGACATATTCGTAATGCAAAAAATTAAAAAATCATAAAAGCACACCAAAACTACCCTATTTTTAATTGCTCTGGATCTTTTTTTTTTTTTTTTTTTTTTTTTTTTTTTTAATTTTTTTTTTTTTTTTTCATATCAGGAATCAAACTCGGGCCCTTATGCTTGTGAGGCAGGTGGCAGAACCGCAGAGCTAAATCCCCAGCCGCTGGATCATTTCTTATATATTGGTTATCTGGTTGGTAGTGTTAACTTCTCCTCTAGCAGTTGGTGTTACAATCCTAGAACAGACTAGTCACAGAATAGTTTCCTCTATTTTCCTATTACACCATCAGTTTTGAATTTCAGTGCTTACTGTAGCAGTAAAGAGAGCACAGTCACTTAACCTCAGCTATCTGAGGTCCCCTCCCCACTCCCCTGTGCTCTGGCCGTTTTCCTCTAGTGCTGCCTTGAGAATGCCAAAGAATCGGCGGTGGAGGGACGCTGTGTCTAAAATGCATCTCTGGTTCTTGGGCCCTTGGAAGATCAACTCTCAGAATTAACCCTTGGCGTTTATCTCTGTGTTTTAGCTGTGCCCTCCCTTTTCCAGACCAAATGGTCTGCTCTGCTCACATAGGCGACTTAGGGAGTCGACTGTGTAAAGCGTCCAGGGCCTCCAAACACAAACCATGTTTGTAGGTGTTTCCACTCTCATACGTCTTGTGCTCGTGATCACCTTAGTGATGATAGAAAGCAGTCACCGAGGGGCAGACATGGAGCCGGACTGGGGCTCCACTGGGCTGAGCCGGAAGTCCCAGGGAGGTCACAGGTTCTTTAGCGACAGCTTCTCTTGGCCTTATCTGCTTTATCTGCAAAGCCGTGGGGTTGGTGAGAGGCTCTCCCGAGCCCCAGAATCTTCAGATTCTCTCAGGGGAGATTCATTTAAGATTTTAGCACAGCAAAGATGTACGAATAAACATTTTATTTAAAAAAGCTTCTTAGGAGATATACTCCTAAGTGAAATACATAAGTCACACATGTGTAAATACCTAATAGTTTCTCTGGTGTGAAAAACTATAATAGTACACAAGATCCTAATGAGATAACTGACATTTAGAAATGGGAAGAAAGGAGCTAAAGGTGTAGGGAAGGGTAGGATGGGATGGGTAGGGGAAACGTAAAAAGGGAAAAGAAAAAAATGTGAGTAATGAAAAGATGGAAATAAAGTGTTTGTAGATGGGGAGGGGAGGAGGGGGTGAAGGGAGGGCAGAGGTAAGGGGAAAAAATGAGAATCAAGACTTGTCATGTAGAGGTCCAAGATCCCAACAATGAATGTAACTGTACTGTATCCCTAAAATGTACCAATCAACTCAATTAAAGCTGAAAAAAAGCTTCTTAGGAAAGGGGTAGACCTTGGTTTCCAGAGACAGAGCTGCTGCAAACACCAGCCAGGGTCTCGCGCCTTCCTATGATCACCGAGGCCCAGAAATGAAGGCTGATAGCACAGCAGCACAGCAGCCCTGCCAGGGTACGATGGGGCAGCGGCTTGCAGAACCACCACTGGCACCTGAGATCGCCAAGTGGCAGTGGAGCAGCCGAGGCTGGGAGCAGCTCAGTGGCCCAGTGTACTCAGCATGTGTGAGACCCTGTGTTGGATCCCAAGGGAGGGAAGAGATAGTGAGGGCGGGAAAGAAGGAGAAAAGGGAGGGAGGGAGAGAGGGAGAGGAGCAGCCATGCAAACATGGTGGGCTAGCAAAAACACGACAGTTTGTAAAACTGGGGTGGG